ACAATTCCCAGGGTGGGAAGGGGCGGAGGCTCCATTTAGGGCAGGTCTACACTAGGAAACTATTTCAGAATATCTAACAATGATGTAATAACTCCCGAAATAACAAAATCAAACTAGCATGTCCCCACTACGGAGAAACCTCGAAACGAGTCCTAGGCAGGCTCCGTTAATGTGGACGCGCTACCTCAACTTAAAGAGTAATTAGTTCAAATGACTCTGGGAAGTAGTTATTTCGAAATAACGGTACCGGAGCATCCACACTACCGCTATTTCGAAAAAGTATTTCAAAATTAGTGTTATTCCCCGAGGGAAGCAGGAATCCAGACTTTAAATTAAGCAGCCCGTTATTTCGAAATAATGAGCTTGGCAGTGTGGATGCACCGTTTATAAATTCAACCTAAGGAGGGTTATTTCAAAATAACGTCCTAGCGTAGACCAGGGCTTAGTGTAGTTCTCAGATTATAGGCCTGCATTACTCCTGTTAAGAGAACATAACACTGGCTATTCAGCATGGGTATCCTCACTCAGTCCAGTCCTCCAACAGGAATTGCTTCCAGGCGTTCTCTTGTATAAGGAATACAATGAAACAGTGTTTCTCCACTTTTTCACACTGGAAATCCTTTATTTGACATCCAATATTTTCCCAACTTCCTTACTTTTGCTCTCCATGGTTCTAAGGTCAGAAGGGACCAATGAGATCGTCTAATTATGCCACATCTACATTTCTGGGGAAATCTACGCGTTGGAGGTCAATTTTTCAGCGTTCGATTTAGCAGGTCTGGTAAGGACCTCTAAGTTGAACGCTGAAGGGGCCCCCATCGACCTTGGTACTCCCTGCAGAGAAGTCTCTCCCGTCAACCTCCTGCTGTGGGGCTGCCCCAGAAAATCGGTGCAAGATACACAACTCCAGCTCCATGAATTATCTTGCATCGACGTTCTCTGCCATTCTAGACCTAGCCTAAGCCCTCCTGCATAGTGCAGGCCAGGGGATTTTCCTGAATTCACTCCTGATTGAACGGGTTCAGTGCTTCACGCTGGGATACAGACTCCCTTTTATCTCCTCTCCGGTGTGAGTTTCTCTCTGTGTCCTTCTGCTTCCCTTCCTGTATTCCTACACTGCTCTCTCTCTTCCTTATTCTGCAGAAGCGAAGAGGGAGGGGGGATCTGAGAGCAGCCTTCAACTTCCTGAAGGGGGGTTCCAAAGAGGCTGGAGAAAGGCTGTTCTCAGTGGGGGCAGATGGCAGAACGAGGAGCAATGGTCTCAAGTTACAGTGGGGGAGGTCTAGGTTGGATATTAGGAAAAACTATTTCAGTAGGAGGGTGGGGAAGCGCTGGGCTGGGTTCCCTAGGGAGGGGGTGGAGTCTCCATCCCTAGAGGTTTTTAAGTCCCGGCTTGACAAAGAGGTTTTTAAGTCCCGGCTGGGTTGATTGAGTTGGGATTGGTCCTGGGATGGACTTGATGACTCCTGAGGTCTCTTCCAGCTCTATGGTTCTATGATTCCTTACCACATGTCTTGGCACATGCATGAGTGTACAGGTTGACAGAGGGTGCTCGACCTTGAAGGATCAGGGTGCGCTGCTAGGAATTTTCTTTGCTCTAAATTGGAATTTGCAGCATTGCCATAGGTGCGTTGGTCTAGCGTATGAGAAATACAAGGAGGGCGAGGAAATATCTTTTACCGAACCCAAATTCTTTTGACGAGAGAGACAAGCTTGGCAGATACACAGAGCTCTTCTTCAGTAGCTGTCTGCCCAAGCAGTCTGGGTGAGCTCCGGAAGAAAACCTGAGACAAGCTCTGTGTAGCTTGAAAGCTTGTCTCTCTCACCCACAGAAGCTGGTCTAATAAAAGATCTTCCCTCCTCCGCCTGGTCTCCTAGATGGTAACATTTCCAAAGCTTGCAAACTCCCGATTGCCTTTCCTGCCTCTGCCCCCCCACCTCCCCGCCGCCCTGGAAATGTTACAATCTAAGTGACAATGCAGGGAGGTAACCTGTCACTTTCGTGTTTGCACTAGGGCAGCGAGGGGCAACCTAGGCTAGTGAGTGGGCCACACGAAGGGCCCTCCCTCAACTCAGGCTGCAAGATTGTCGTAACCAAGACGGTCACCTGGGATAGGGAATTTTTACTGGCTGCACGTGTGTACCTGGAGTTTGCAGGGGGTGCGGACTGAACCGTAGCAGCGCTTTGATGGGACGCAGAGGGAGCGCACGGCTGCCGGTCAGTGTTGTGTGCAACCAGCCCGCACCTCGCTTCACGCGTGCTTTGCACAAGTGAGTTCAGTCCTACGTGGGTGGAACCGAGCAGCATCCGGCAGCCCTGTGTGTGTGTGCAACAGTGAACAGGAGGTCTCCGGGTGGGCACACACTGGGCAGGTGGGTGAGGAAGGCACAGCCCCTAACACACCCAACTACGCACCGTTCATGCTAGTATGAACTATGCCATATTGGGGAAACTGAGGCACGGAGGGACCAGGGGGCAGAGCCCGGCGGGGGGCCCAGGG